CTCTTATAATAGAGCTTTAATAGCTGCCCTACACTACACTCATGTTCCATCATCTGCCTGAAGCTTTTCTCCTGGAAGCTCATTGGCTGATTAAATTATGGATTTTATACAAGGCTTTTCAATTAAGGGGATCTAAACAGTACTGATGTACATGAAGTACTGATGTACATGAAGTACTTCATGTACATGAAGTACTTCATGTACATATGAAACTGTCAGCGGCTGTCATCGTTTTCAGACCGTTTGTCGTCGTGCAACGTCGTAACTTTTCTTAATGTCACTAACATCACTGTGGACGTCCAACTCTGCAGTGTGTTTTTTTTTTCCGTTTTCACTTTGTTTGCAGTTTTCCTGCATGATTTATGGGCCTGTAAGGGTCCGCCCGGTTTGTTCCTACGGTCTACTCCTCCACTGACGTGAGCTTTTGTCTTTTATGTCTGCGGCACGTCACGCTGAACTCCCTCTGGCCTCCCGCTCCTTCTGTTCTTTAACCTTTAACGCTGTTTTTTTTTTTTTTTCTCCTCCTCGCTCTGATCCAGGCCGAGCTCTGATGAGGCTGACAGACAGAAAGCTGGAGAGGATGGGCATCATGCAGGAGGCCCAGAGGCAGCACATCCTGCAGCAGGTCCTGCAGCTGCGAGTCCGGGAGGAGGTCAGGACGCTTCAGCTTCTCACACAAGGTAGGCCGCCAGTCCTCAAGGACCCAACCAAGGACCCAACCAAGGCCCGTGAGCCGCGTCCTCACACTGTATGAAGTCAACGCTAATGTTTAGATCCTGTGGTTGAGGGTTTTTTTTTTTTTATTCTAATCCTAATCAAGTATAAATCTTATTATATGAATGAAAAAAAATCAACAGTTAATCCCATAAAATCCAAGAAGAGAAAAATGGACGCAGAAAAATAGGCAATTTAAAAATATAAAGAATATTTGAATATATATATGAGTTACAGCAGGGGAGCTCAACCCTGTGTGGTTTTAGTCAGTGAAGTTGGTCTGACACAGGTCGGGCCGCTGACCTGAAGTTGAAGCACATGCTGGGAGTCGAGATGGTGTTTTAGGCCCAAAGTTCTGTGTTGGATAGAAAACTCCTTCAGTGTGTGTGTAAATGGCAACACGTGTGTTAGAGCACCAACTAGTGGATGGACAGTGGAATTATTTTAGAGTTTGCTTCACGTTACTTTTTTTTTTTTTTTTTTTTTTTTTAATACTCAATGTAATACTCATGTGGACCTGGAGAGGCTCAACATAACCCCCATGCACAGAAAGAGGGCGCTGTTGTTGAACCAGTGATACAACAACAACCAGGCGCTGTGCTGTTTTCATGGCTCCCTCACCTCAA